AACATTCTTCATAGAACTGTAGAAAACAATCCTAAAATGCACATGGAACCAGCAGAAACTCAAAATAGCAAAAGTAATCTTGGGTAATAAGGGAGAAAGAAAAAGCATTACAATTCTGGATTTAAAATTATATTATATTACAAAGCTACAGTAATAAATAAAGCATGACACTGGCACAAAAACAGACATCAGGATTCTGGAACAAAAGCAGAATAGGAGATGCAGAAACAACCTCAAGTACATTTAACTATTCAATCTTTGACAAAGGGACCAAAAAGGGAAAACTAGTTATCCATACACAGAACACAGAATCCAGGCCTGTATCTCTCACTCTGTAGAAAACTAAAATCAAAATGGATCAAAGAGGACAGGGATATACCTCAGTGATATAAGCACCTGCCTGGCTAAGTACAAGGTCATGAGTTTGATCCCCAGTACCAACAACTAAAAAAAAAAAAAAAAAAGATCAAAGAACTAAACTTCAAAACAGAATCACTTAACCTGTACTAAGATAAAACAGGTGAAACTCTTGATATCATTGACATAAGCTAGGACTTTCTGAACCCTCGTTGCATAGGAAATGGTACCAAGAATCAAAAAATGGGTTCGTGTCAAATTAAAATGTTTATGTAACAGCAAAAGAAATGACCAACAGAGTGAAAAGACAGAATGAGAAAATATTTTTGCCAGCTATTCCTCAGACAGAAGACTAATAGAATATACAAAGAACTTGGAGTTATGAGGGGGATCTGGCTACATCCGTCACCCTACTGACCGCCAGAGTTGGTTTAGCTGATCTGGCTGGTCCCTTCCTCTCTCAACCCTCAATGTGTATTCACCCACCCTGAAGCTGCTCGCTCCTTGGAACAAGTGAGCACCTCTGATAGAGGAAGACCATTTTCCCAGTCAAGAGTATGAGAGTAGCCGCACTCTCAAAAATCCCAAAGTAAAACACCAAATCAAAAAATAGACAAGTGAAACGCTTCACAGAAGTACAAATGACCAATAAATACATGAAGAAATGTTTGATAACACTGGCCACTGGAGAAACACAAATTCAAACAGTGAGATTCCATCTTACCCTAGAAAGAATAGCCATCATCAAGAAATCAAAGTAACAAATGCTGGTGCGGCTGTGGGGGAAAAGGAACCATTCTACATTGTTGGTAGCAATGTAACCTAGTACAACCAACTATAGAAATCAGTATGAAGATTCCTCAAAAAGCTAAAAATAGAAATTCCACTTAACACTGCTATTCTCCTTCTAAGTACCTTCCCAGAAGTGATACATGCACATCTGTGTTAACAGCAGCATAACTCATAATAGCTAAACCTTGGAAGGGGCCTTTTATTACATCCATCAACAGACAAACAGATACAGAAAATGTGGTATTTACATAAAATGGGGCACTATTCTGCCATAAAGAAAGATAAACTTGAGTCATGCATAGGAAATGGAGGCACCCTGAGACTATAATGTTAAATAACATAAATCAGAAAACAAACGTTTCTCTTATATGAAAAACCCAAAATTTAAATAAAGAGCAAAATAAAAGATAGATAATAGAAAGTAGAGAGATAACAGCTTTCTCAAAGGGTAGGGGAATCAAAAGATTAGTGGGAGCGGGATGAAAAAAGGAATTAAGAAGAGTTATACACCTAAACCAACTCCACACGAAGAATATAAATATTATGTACTATAAACATGAACTAGTAAAAATAAATACACAAAACACAATGTTGAACTTGAAAAGCCTACCTGATATATAAATGGGGAATCAACTAGGAAACTATAAGTCTGAAGTTCTATAGTCTGGGTTAATGATACAAACTGGAAGTCTTCATGTAAAAGGCATATGTAAAGTCAGCTGTGTTTGAATAAAGCAGATAATGCTCAATAAATATTAGCAGAATGAACCAAAGTTCTAAGTACTTGATTAATTTATTTCACCTGAATGACAACCTTATGAAGTAGGATCATTTCCATTTTAAAACTATGGAATAAAGGACGGTAACTTGCTCAAGGTCACACAGTAGGAATTATAGCTGAAGTTCAGTAAGAGATAATAGCTATTAAAAAAAAGATAATGTGAAGTTTATTAGTGATATTGACCCAAGGAAGAAAAATAATTAAAGCCAGTTATCTCCTATTAAGCAATAAAGCAGCCAAAGAGTTAATAAACCTGAAAAAAAATTCCCAATCATAACTAACCATTAGTGACTTCCCTCAAGTTTTATACATATTAAACTCAAAGCAATTTACAAACTAAAGAGATTAAAACACGCTACCCAACTACTGGATTTCTATCACTTTAAAACTTCTAGAAGACAGCAGGACATTTTTAAGCTGGTTATTCATTTGAAGTAGAAATTAAAGAACACAAAAATTTAATGAAGACATTAAACATTAAGGAACAAAAAAAAGTTCAATACTGGCAGTTAGAGAAACAAAAGAAATACCTTCCTTGAATTTTAACTCTAACATTTAAAAAAAGAGAGAAAGAAATTGTGGAAAGGTTAAAATACTATATCAAGTGTTATAATAAAAGATATATAAGTAGATACATTAAAGGCCACTATTTGTTATTTTAAAAAATATATTGATAATGCTTCATACAAGATAGAAGACTAACAGGATTTAGAGACTGTTTCATTAAATATATTCTCACTTAGTTCACTATACACTATAGTAATCAACAACTCTCATCTTGATTTATATAAAACCTTATTTGAAGATCTTTAACAATACCTCAGTAAATACACTGTTTGATTCTACTTCTCTGCATCTTAGTGCATTAAGTCAAAAATAAAATAGCTTAGTAACTTTTGAACCCTCTCAAGTAGAGTTGGTCACAAGCAGACCAACTTCAAAAAACATTTGAAGAAAGATGGGAAAAAATAATAAAGCTGAGATCACATCTTTCTCCATGCTCTAGTAAGGGTTTAGGGGAGAGATGGGTTTCTATAACCTAAGATGGACACAGTGGTTAGTAAATCACCAAAAAATTGAACTTTCTTATTTTTCTTTACAAAAGCTGTTACAATAATCTTGACCATATTTGAGAAAATGAAACCAACTTATTTTAATCATAATCTACTTAGAATCCATGAAGAAAACCTGGGTTTTCCAAAACTTAACTAGGATCCCAAAACAAGTGCTAAAAGGAGTTTCACTACTCATGAAATTACACACTGAAAAGTGTTCAAAAATTCTGCATTGAAATTTTCAATGAATAATAAATACCAACATCTACCTGACATGGCATAAGTGACTCCATTTTGTTTTAGGACTCCATTTTAGTTTGTAGTTAACCCTAGGACGAACTCACTCCTAAAAACCCCCTCCCAGTTAGCCATAAAAACCAAAAGAGAGGAACAAATGGTTACATCAAACAACAGTCATGCTGACCCCTGTCTGCATCCTGTTTGATTAATGACCCAGATGTTTGAGGAAGACATTATGGTACTCTTATAAAATTCCAAATAAGATAGTGGGGTTACTATGGTTACCAAAGAATTTGTAAATGTATAAAAAAAAAAAAAACCCCAGAGAACAAGGCATCAGCGTCTGTGCCCTGGCTACTGCTGACTATGGTATCCAGCTAATCAAGCTTGCTTGTACCCGTCATCAGCCTCCGTGAATGAGTCTTTCGTGTTTTTGCCACAATCTATCTAATCAGTGCAATTTATCACCCAGATCTGAGAACTCTATTTCCAATTTGTTCCATTCATAATGCTTTATATCAGGTCAATTCAAATCTTGTCTAAATTATTACAGCAATCTCTTAATCAGCCTTTACATAGCCCCATCATCCTATACACAGTAGCCAAAACCGTGTAAATACAAAGTCCAAACTTCGAAAAACGTCTTTATAAGGCCCTTTATAATATAACCACTTCATATTTTCTTGGCTTCACTCTTTACCATTACTACTCCACTTCCACCCAATATACAAATACCACCAATATGTATTCTCCTGCACATATGCACTATAGGAGGTGTGATCAAAATATACGGTATGTTTAAATTAGCAAAGTTAATCACAGAGGAAGACAAACTGCCATTAAATCCTCTCAAAACACTCCCTCTCATTTTTAAGACATTTATGCCAGGAATCTCACCACTTTCTGAAGCAGTTCTGGAAGTCCTCTTTCTTGAGTGTTTTTACGAGGTATGATTAAAAACATGGTGACAACACAGAAAGGCAAGCTTGTAAAAATACTGGTGTGTCCTCATCTACCCCCATCAGCAGACCTAAAGCCATGTAACTTCGAGCTCTTTCACAAAATCAAAATGACCATAAAAAGAAAACATTTTGAATCAATTCAGGACATCAAAGGAATCACAACAGCACAACATAAAGACACTCATGAAAGATGATTTCCAGAATTTCTAAAGAAAATGGCAAGAATGATGGGATACAAGTGCTCAAAGGAAGGAGAAATACTGGGGTGGGGGTGAAGGTAGGGGTTAATGGTATTTAATAATTTTTAAAATTTAAACATTCACCCTAATTTTTGATCACAGCTTGTACTTTTGCCATATTTGCTTACCCGTAGTGCCCCAAAGCAACAGCTACCCTTAAAGCCTTTCTGATTGCTTCTTCTGTACTTGTGCCTTCCTCTGACAGAATTGTTTTCTCCAACTCATCTCCTTGTTTTGCTAACTCTGACTCATCCTGAAGTCTGATTTTAAATGCCAAATCCTCTGTGACACCTTCTTTGCCCAAGTCCTCCCCAATTAGTCCAATCTGATGAACCATATATCCTGAATTTCTCTCCGTCCAGCAATTCTGACTCTGAACATTAATCGTCACTTGTCTAACTTTCTGTCCTAATGTAAGGTAGCTGAGGGTAGGGGATGATGTCTTAGTATTGCACTCTCAGTGTCTAGCTCAATGCCTGACGTACATGAGTAGCTGAACAAATTCACTGAATGAATAAATGTATCATGAAAGGACACAACAGTATTGAAAACCTTAACTAAAGAGATAACATACCTGTCTTTCCAACTCTTGTCCTGTTATACCAGCCTCTACATGAGCTGTCAGATTGTTCTCATCGACCCAGAGAATTCGATTCTGTTATAAAAGAAGACAGAATTCTCATCTCCAGGAACTATTCAGATTTTCTCCAGAAAGATATAACTTCTTAATTCTAAGCAAAAAGTTGCGGGATTGTGATTAAGCAAGTAGGATTCCTACTACCACCCACAAGGGAAATGCACTTCACTCATGCCTTACTATGTAACATAAAACAGTAAAGAGGGTAGTATATCATGCAGAAGTTGGCTTGAAACAGACTTCTTTATGCATGTATTAATCTGAATTAAATTTCAACTCTTAGCTTATACAAGTAACTATTTAGGTTTGACACACACACACACACATTATAAATATAAATAATATAAATATCTTCATTAATTATTTTATACTACTAAAAACAAACTTCTTAGTTGGGCCTGATAGCACATACCTATAATCCAGTACTCTGAGGCAGAAGCCCAGCCTATGTAAGCTAACATCTCAGTGAGACCTCATCTCAAAATAAAAAATAAAGAAGTGGTGGTGATATAAGTCAGTGTGAAGGTCCTAGGCTCAATTCTCAACTCTTAGCCAACAATGAGTCTAAACTTTAGAACATAATTCTACCATTAAAATTACATCTTGCACAAATCCTCACACAAAAATGTAACATATGTGTAAATTTGGGAGAGAAGTAAGTTAGGGTTATTCAAATTAACCTTAACTAATGTTATCTGGGACCAGGGATTTAGCTCAGTGGTGTAAGCGCCTGCCTGGCAAGCGCGAGGTTGTGAATTCAATCCCTGATATCAAAAAAACAAAACAAACAAAAAAAACTAGTATTATCTGTTCTGTTTTTTATAATAGTCATCTAATCAACATTTCAATTTATGTTTCTCAAATGATCGATTTTGCATGCTAATTTGATAGAATAGCATCAAGATATGCACTTGAGAGAAATGAATTTCTCTGAAAGATAAGGCTAAACAATAATGATGAAATACATTTAAAACAAAATAGGAACCTTTTTTAAATGACAAGTGAAACAGAGCCAAATGTTTTAAATAGAAACTATCTTCAATTACATCTCAAATAATCATATACCATTTGTGATGTATCCAAAGAAATTATTGTTCTTGTCTCATCTGCTGGACACATTAGGCCATATGAAACACTTGTCCCTCCTGCCAAAAAGGAAACAACAAGTTTATTTTTATATATTTTACTTTCAGCTAACATTTCTAGGGCAAATCGCTAAAAACATACAGTTAGATCCACTAAGAAAGTCACACCTATTTCTATAGTAAAATGCAGTATGCAAAAGCTAAAATGCTAAAAGCAAACTCACCTTTATTTTATGCTGTGTGCCAAAATGAAGCATTATGGAACAGAAAGCAATGGGACATGGCTCCATCCCCTGGACATGACACACTCAAGTGAAGTCCCTAGCAATTTGTAGAACTCCAAAAACATAATTAGAAAAGTTCTAAGCTAATGAATACTGTGAAATAGTAACTTACAAGAGACTCATCAGACACAACTAGAGGTAACAAGTCCTTTCTACCTTAATTATGAGATTCATTTATCATTTAAAATAACATAGTCTCATACAAAAGGCCTTTAATAGAACAGAAACCATTTAAAGTGTCAAGATTAAACATCTGAACACAATTTTTATACTTTGATGAAAAGGCGCTTTTAACATAGAGTAAATAATCAACAGCATATTGCTGTTTTCTCCTAACACTGTCATCAAATGAAAAACGTTTTCTTGATACAAGTAAAGAATGAACTATATCTGCACCACCCTATATCAGAATAAAAATTTTAGCCAGCACTTCCATACATTTTGTATGGGAGAAAATATATGGAGGTCACCTTACCTAAGAAGGGAAACGTTTATTAAGAGTTACCTAAGGGGGTGTTTATCAGTAAAGATCAGCTTAAGCTTAATTCACAAGATCAAACCATGAACTGCCAGTTAGAAACATAACATTTTTGATGTTTGCTTGTACTGTCATTTACAATCAGAAAAATATTTCATAAAAGAGTGGTACTATAGTGATTTTTTTATGTTTTTTTGTTTTTTAATTCATTACACTGTCTTTTGCATGAACTCCACAGATAGTATCAGCTGACAAAGGAACCTGGTGCTCCAGCAACTGCTGAGGTCTCATTTCCATTCTATCAATACCAATTTGGTCACTGCAGGTAACATTCCTATTCTTGTATATATCATGTGATTTTAAAATATGGTGTTTTTAAAAAATTTATCATAGTAAAAGACTTATTACCAATAATCCTCCTCAAAATTCTCCTCTGGGCTTCAAACATGTTTATCTCATTTTTCTCCCCGTTCTCTGACATAACTTTAAAACATATCATCTTTCCTGAGTGTCTTTAGTTGGTGCTATCATGGCTGCCTAGATCCCTGGTTAAATTTAAAACATTTACCTTTCCTGGCCATTTTAAATTTGAGAAAGAGACAAGGCACCAGGTCCGGGAATAAGGTAGATGAAAACATACCATAATTTATTTTATAGAAATAAACTTTTTAAATCAATTCAGAACATTGTGGCACCCATGCCCGTGCAATCAAAGACACTCATGAAAGCTTACTTCCAGGGCTGCTTCAAAAGTGGCAAGAATCAAGTAAGTATGAAAGAGCAGTATTCTGAGGGGGTTAATGCAAGGTGTCATTCATGACAATAATTTGTTTTTTTAATTTAAACACACTGTATATTCTGACTACACCAAATAAACTTAAAACAATGTAGTTAATAAAAGATGAAATCAAATTCACTTTAAAATGAAAAACAGTAAAAATTAAATAAAATGGAAAACACTGTTATTATTGATTTATCACTGTACTGGTGATCTTTTAATCTGCATGTTTTCTGATTATTCTGTTTCTCAAAAAATTATATTGGATATATTCATATTTTACCTTTGAAAAATAAAATTCTCTCTACAAACATAAGGTTAAAGCATTATTAAAGAACTTTTTTTTTTTTTACACTAAGCTACATCTCTTTATTCTGTATTTTGAGATGGTAAGTTGCTCAGGTTAAGATGAAATTTGTGATCCCCTTGCCTGCCTCATTATCCTAGAGAGCTAGGATTACAGGTATGTACTACCACGTCTGACTAGGAAAGACTTCTTAGTCAGCCATTACAAACAGCTTCAACTATGATTCATATAGGGAAAATCAGTGAATGAAGGGTTATACCATGTCTCAGTGAAAATCAATTTTTAAAAATAACTATCATAATTACAAAAATATTTGTATTCAAGGGATGACACAAATATTTTAAATACAACTATTTAACATCATATTAAAATTTGAAAATACCTACCACCAATTGGTATGATACAGAGGTTGTATTTGCATGCTAGATTCACAATCTTAACTACATCATCATGACATGCTATTGAAAGAAAAGAAAAATAAAGTAATTACTGGGATGTGATCAATACCTAGGTAACCTCATAATACAAGGGTTTATAAAGTTCTTTAGCATGAAAATTTTTCCTTCATTTATTCACTGATTAACAAAATAAAGTGTCTGTATTAAAAGAGGGAGTTTTTTCAGCCTTTCATTTTGAAATAATTTTAGTCTTACAAAAAAGTCATAAAAATAATGAAGATCTCCTTCACAAACATTAATATCTTGCACAGTATTTATATAATCTTACATAACGTTGCCACTAACATACCCTTTTCTGGACCACGTATCAAATACAAATATACACACTGACTTAGATATCTTTTTTTTTTTTTTTTTTTTCTGGTATCAGGGATTGAACTCACGACCTCGTTCTTTGCAGGCAGGTGCTTATGCCACTGAACCAAATCCCTGTTCCCTGTATTTTCTTAAAAATCAATATTTTCTATGCTCTAAAGCGCTGGTTTCAATCCTAGCAATACAAAAAAAAAAAAAAAAAAAAAACCTAAGATACATATTTTCTGAGTCTATCTTTGAATACATAGACTACAGACTATGTTAAAGTCCAGTATTAGTTGCTAGGATCCTAGCAAAGAAAAAAAGATGCTAACAAAACTTGACATATTAATGTAATTTATGAAAGCAAAAATGCTGTATAAATGTTGCTATTATTTCTCAGTTTGCATAAAGCTAGAAATACAAGAGTGTGATAACTAAATTAGTCCAGTGATCGGTTTATCGCAATTCTAGGTATGAATAATGGGAAGGCCCACCCTGGGTGTGGGTGGCCCCAATCAATAGGCTTGTAGCCTGAATGAGATAAAGAGGAAAAGAAGGCTTGCTGCTATACTTCCTGCTGCCTTCTGCCTGCTATGCTATGAACTGTTCTCTGTATCCTGCCATGCCAACCTGCCTTGGGGCCAACCAATGATGGACTAAAATCTCTACAAACTGTTAGCTAAAATAAACCTCTCCTCCTCTAACTTGTGAGTGTCAGGTAATGTGTCTCAGTGACAAACAAAGTAACTAAAAAAAGATATCTACGCTGGACAAATGTCACAAAGGTGAAAATCCTGCTTTAAGGATGATCTCAAAACAGAGAAGTTACATATATTGTAAGTCTTAATTCTTAAATCCTATATATCCTATTAAAGCAATATATAGAATTCAGACTCAGATTAAAGTCAACAAGTATATGGCCATACCACCCTGAATGCGCCCGATCTCGTCTGATCTCAGAAGCTGACCAGGGTCGGGCCTGGTTAGTACTTGGATGGGAGATTAAAGTCAACAAAAAAATTTCATTGGAGATGGAAATGGTATGTGTCTATCCAAATGCAAAATGGGACAGCTACCTCACTCAATGGAATTGCTTTAAATTGCTATACTGTCTCAATATACACTGTCTCAAAAACTGCCCTCAGGTTGCTAGTGTTAACAAATTACTATTTGCTTACAGAAATCCAGTTAGGTTAATTTTCCATATCTAACTAAATCATGTATTTGACAATTTCACTAAGCTTCAAAATTAACCAAAAAATATTTTCTACTGACCTCCAAATACAGCTATTTATAAACATGAAGAATTAATCATCAACAACAAAAATCAACCCTTATAATTAACAGTTTAGGACAATCAGATCGAGAAAGGGCTACACTGGGAAAAGCTATAACCAATGATTATGATATGCATGTATGAAAATGTCACAATGAAACCCATATTCTGTGGGTGTGCAACAATAGTAAATGTGCAATAAAATTAAAAAAAAAATAAAAATCAAAAAAGAAAGTTTTTATGAATTTTTGATAAATAATATAGCTACTGACATTTTGTATGACATATATTACAAAGTGTGTATTTCCAAAACTACCTTTACCTAAGAATTAATGATATAAAGGGGAAAAGCAACTTACTCGGCCATAAAACTATATCAGGAATTCGCTCAAACATTCCTTCCCTGAGCAAAAATATCTCATGAAGACAATGACCTGTTTGGTGGTTTAAAAAGAAAAATGCAAAACATCTTAGAGAAAAATTTTTTAATTAAAAGTAAATATAATATAATGTAAAGCACCTTACCATGAGCTCTAAATACTCGATCATCTGCCTCTTGTGAATATGAAATGTTGGTTTTTTTAAGTTCATGAAGAAAATCTTCATTTACAATAGAAGGGGGTGTATCACTAGGATTTAAGGATGCCTAAAAAATAAAAGTAGTTATTTTGATTTATTTCCAGAAAATAAATTTTGAATATTCCTGTTAAGGAAAACGACTATATTATGTAGACTTCTTTTTTACATTCAAAGACAGAAAGAGGAAAATATCAAGTAATGCACACATAAATCAACTTTGTGACAGTAGCAAATTACAGAAGACTGGTTAATCATATCCTATAATGTAAGTTATAAGGCCTTATGTTTTCTCTTTACCTTTAAAACTTGGCATTATTTATAATCAAAACTGCAATCAAAAACAGGTAAAATAGGGACTGGGGATTTAGCTCAGTGGCATAAGTGTCTACCTGGCAAGCGTGAGGTTGTGAGTTCAATCCCTAGTACCCAAAAAAAAAGGTTAAGATAGCAAAGTTTCAAATTTTCAATTTTAGATTAAGAAGATGGAAAAACCTACCTGTGATTTGCATGATCTACCTTTTTTACCTGTAGATAAAAATTACTTTTTTTTTTTTTTTCTTTTTTTCTTGGTCTTTTTAAGGTCTCACAATACAGTTCAGGCTGTGGCCTTGAGCTCACTTTGTAGCCCAGGCTGGTCTCAAACTTGCAACAATCCTCCTGCTTCAGCCTCCCAAGTACTAGGGTTATAAGCATGCACCACCACACCTGGCTTATTCTTCAATGATCATTTTAAAATGGATAATACAAAATTTTACATTAAGTCATGAAACCATTTTTATAGGCTTTAGAACTCATAATTTGATACTTAATTTCATCTAATAGGTATCTAGAAATCTAAATTGTAAAGTTAAAACCTGTGACATTGGGCATGTCACTCAACTTCTGTGAGCCTTGGTTTCTTCACTGTTAAATGAAATTATCATCACCAAATATATACAGCTACTATAAGGAAAGTAGGTGATACACGCTATCATGTATGTCTGTGTGTATGTATGAAAGCACCTAAAAAAAAGTTATGATACAGTATTTATGAAAAAGAAAGCAGAAATATACATGAGAAAAAAATACATGAATTACTATAATCTCTTAGATTCTTAATGAAGTATTATACTCATTCATATAACATTTATTGAGTGCCTACTGAACAAGGTACTAGGGATTTAGCTCAGTGGCACAAGTGCCTGCCTGGCAAGCACAAGGTCATGAGTTCGATCCCCGGTACCAAAAATAAAAAATAAAAATAAAAGAAACAAGGTATTGTTCTAAGGCCTGGGGACACAGGAATGAGTTAAACAGAAAAAAAAAAAATTTTTTTTTAACCTTATAGAATTATCCTGCAGTAGGCCAGGTAAATAGCTCAATAGCATAGTATGTGCCTGACAAATGCAAGGTCCTGAGTTCAATTCCAAGTACCCAAAAAAAAAAAAGGAATATTCCTGCAGTAGAAGAAAAATGACCAAAAGTACTCCAAAAAAGTATAACAATTAATAACTTAAATTATTAAAAAAAAACACTGAAAAGAACTCAAAAGCTAAAACTAGTGAAAACTGTGAATATGCTACAGCAATTGTATCAATGTCAAAAACAAGTAATCACAAGTAGATGAAAACATTCACAAGATGAAGAAAGTAAAGTTATAAGAATTTACTTTGAGGGAACATTAGTTATTCAGTTTTACTTTATTAACAGACTAAAATAACTGTAAACTTAAAGCAAATCTACAAGTATTCTTTGACCATCAATCTCTCTTAGTATCAAGCTGTTTAATGGGGAAAATATCATGTAAAACTTGGCCCCTGTGCTCATGGAACTTATATTCAGTTTGAGAGACAGGCAAAATATATTAAGCACAGTAAAACAATAAAAAGAACAATACAAAACTACTAAATATTTCATTCATAAGATTTTATATATACAATTTAGTTTTTTAATCCCACTTTGAGAAAACTGTAGTCACATGACTAAATTAAAATTCTATTATATTCATATCTTAATCAAATTTTTACATTCTTAAATCTTCAAATATTTCACAAGTTCTAATAGAGCACATGTAACATTACATTTTTATTTTAAAGTATTCTACATTTATCCTAGATTATTGTCAATTATTTTAAAATGTTTGTAATTTAAATAGTAAGTTTTTATAACAAAGTATCATAGATTAATTTGCACTTCATTTCTATTATTATTTCCACTTCTTAAATTAACATAGCCCAAGATCAAAGAATAGAAAATGTGACACTCAACTACACCCAGAAAACCTAACAAAGTGGATAAATTAGGTTTCATAATAAAAGCCCATGGCAGCCATATTAAAGGAAATACAACAAATCACAAAGATCAATCTAATTAATTTGAGATAAAAAACACAGGTAAGCTTGATTGTTAATTATTTACTTACTTTAGAGGTAGTTTTATGGTCCAGGTTTATTCCAAAGGTATTTTGGATCCAATCTTTAAAAGTTGGTAAAGCTACACCACTAAGAGGGTATCTAGGGTATAAAAAAGATAAAAATATTAGAACAAAGTATTTTCATTTGAATTTGAAAATCAGATTCTGCTTCCATAATGACCAAAAAGCTCCTACTGAAGCTATCTTCTCGGATATGACTATAAAATCTGCACAAAAATAAGACAAAGTCTGCTATCTAAAGACAGTATAAAATCTGTATTTCTTTAAATTCTTTTTGAACTGTTTTGTTCTGTTTTGATATGTTTAATCTTACCCTCTTTAAGATAAAAAACAAGTGTGTAGGACTGATAACCATATTACTAAGTTTTTGTTGGATCACTGAGCAGAACTGTTGGCAGTGTCACTATTTGAATGTCACTTTACATATTTTAATTTTGTAACCTGAACAACTATTTCTAAGATGTAACATATTTCTAATATGTAACTTATCAACTGGTGATTTCTTACTGTTTATTTTTCTGTAATTCTGTATTATTTCTACACTTTTTTTCCTCCATTTTTTTATTTCTTTCTCTTTAAATAAAGACAGTATAGAGAGATCAAAAGCAGGCAAAAATACTATTTTTAGAAAAAGTGCTACTTTTAGAAAAAGAAAAAAGCATTATGTGAGTTTCCTAGCTTTCTTTTTGTTTTTTAAATAGCTGTTAGCCTGAGAGAAAGTAATAAAAATGCTGAAAATCAAGTTTCCCTGGCTTGAAAAATTAGGGAAGTGTTTCTTTTTACTGGTGAATTGATGCCATCTACATTAATGGTCATGACCAGCACACACTGGGCTCACCTCTGCCATGCTATTTTCCTGCTGTTGGCTGCCTACCTTTCCCCTCCAGTCCACTGTCTGCCCCATTCGGTGATCCCCTCTGCTGCTGTTCCTGGAACCATGGTCTTCTTTTCTCTCTCTCTAGAAAGTCCTTTAGTATTCTTTGTAGGGTTGGTTTGGTGATCATGAATTCCTTCAGTTCTTTGTCATGGAGGTATCTTGTTTCTCCATTAATTTTGAAAGAGTTTTGCAAAGTACATCAATCTGTGTTGGAAGTTGTTTTCCTTCAGGACTTGAAATATTTCACTTCAAGCTCTTCTTGACTTGATGGTTTGTGTTGAGAATTCCGTCATGATTCTGATGAGTTTTCCTTTATAGGTCATGTTTCTTTTCTCTAACAGCTTTTAATATTCTGCTCTTGTGTTGAATTTCCGGGATCTGGATTATTATATGTCTAGGTGTAGATTTACTTTGGTTATGGCCAGCTGGAGTGCTATATGCCTCACTTATCTGAATGTCACTTCCTTTTCCCATGCTTGGGAAGTTTTCTGATATTATTTCTGTAAACAGACTTCATACCATTTGTGCTGACCCCTCCCTGCTTTTTCTATTTCACACCTATTATTCTTCTATTTTCATGCACACCTATGGATTCTTATGTTTCTTTGGGTTGTCTTGCAAGCTACTGGTTGTTACTTCCTGGTTCCTTGTTATTTTTAAGAGATCTTGTCTTCTGTGATCACAAGCTGTAAACCTGTCTTCAAGGTTTGAAAGTCTATCTTCAGTTTCTTTCAAGCGGTTTTGCAGCTTTCAATGGGAGTTTTTAATTTCCTGGATATCTCTTTGAATGTTTCATGTATTCTAAATCTTTTTTATATTGTTCATTCAAGGTTTCCCTCATTTTCCTATGCTCCTCTATATTTTTATCTATGTCTTCTTTAGAGTTGCTTAGTAATTTTTATTATGTTTTTCATTTCGTCTTTTACCTGAAATACTGTTTTTGTTCTAATTTTTTTTATACTCTCATGAAGTTGTTTCTTTACTTCAGTTGGCATTACTTTAGAAATTTCAGGTGTGCAACTTTCCATCTCTTCCGTGTTTATATCTCCTGGACCAGCTCCGCTTGGGTTGGAGGCCAGGGTTTGTCTTTTGCTTCTTCATCTTGACACATTCCTGGGTTCTTCCCGACAACTGGGTGTTGGGGTCCCAGGCACTTCTCGCATTGGCTACAATTTCTCTGAAGCAAGACTTTTGGTTCTTCTAGCCAGTACTGGCAACAGGTATCTGATAGTGGCCACTGAATGTGCTGGTGTAAGGTTGTCTGCTGCTTTTCCCAGCTGGTGTTGGCTAACCAATGGCTGGTGGTGTGCATAGGGTCAGGGCTGGCCACCACCTCCTACCTGGTTACCAGCAGGGATCTTCCATGATGGCTGCAGGTGTGTGCACAGGGGCGGGGCGAGCTGTGGCCTCTAGATTGTGCTGGCTATGGCAAGGAACCTCGGCCATGGCTGGTGGAATGTGCAGTCTAAGCAATTTCCACAGGACAGCTCGTGGCTAGGAGCTGCTGGAGGGAGCTGGCAGTTTATCTGGCCCGACTCCAAAATGGCCAATCACTCTCTCCTGCGGGAGATTGAGCCCTCTGCACTCACCAGCAGCCAGTGTAGTTCTCTGCGTCCGCTGCCCCCCTCTACCACTGCGTCTCTTTGCAGAGGCCTCTGGTGTCACCAGCCATCACCATCACCATGACATGGGTCCCCAGGTTCCAACAGTTCCTCTCGTGCAGTGGGTCTAGCTCCAGGCAAAGGTACTGCCAGCTACTGCGTTCTTCATTTAAATTTATCTCTCTCTGTGGGCTTCAATTCTCAACTTAAGATTTTCCTGGTCAGGGGACCCACGTCCTTCTTTCTTGTCTTCCCCACCATGCTATATTCCAGTGTCTGGACTGTGTCTCTCAGACAGATTGTTTACTCTGCTGCTGACTGTTGTGCCATCTTCCTGGATCCTCTGCTGGTTTTGGTCATTTTTCTATAGGTAATTCTTATTTTCTTATTGATTTATCAGAACCATTTATGTATTATAAAATCAGAGATTGAACATTCTTCTTACTCTGTGATTTACTTTTTTTATTTTCTTATAGGTATCTTTAATGAAAAGAAATCTGACACTTTAATGTTAATTCATTTTATTCTTTTACTAGCTAATACTTTTTGTTCTCTGCTTTCACCTACCTCAAACTCAGAAAGAATTCTATGCTAGAAGTTTTATACTGGGCTGGGGATTTAGCTCAGCGGCATAAGCGCCTGCCTTGCAAGCAGGCAGTCGTGAGTTTGATCCCTGGTACCGATTAAAAAAGAAAAAAAAAAAAGGAGTTTTATACTGTTAGCTTAGGTCTATAGTCCACGGAGTTAATGTGTGCATATAGTATGAAATAAAGTCAAATAATAACTTTTTTCAAGAAGCAGTTCATTTTGTTGTATGTGTTTTAAGTGGAGAAAGGAGGAGACACTCCACAAGTCGCTACCCGTTTCAGTTCAAAGAACAATTCGGGTGTGCTAAGGACGTAGCACAGATAGACCAATTGCCTAACATACATGAGGCCAGGATTCAATCCCTATGACTTCCAAAAAGAAAGTCTGCAAATGTTTCTAATAAAAATCAAAGAAATCTACTAATCTACTCATCATATCCAGGAAACAAACTAGATTTATAACAAGTAATGAATTCAATTCAGTTTTATTATCCTGTCTGTAACAATGTAGTAATAGTGCTTCTAGAAACACCAAAAAGCAATCTGAATACTATTGTTTTAGTTATTAAATTGTTTATATATTAGATATTTAATGTTAGAGCAGTAAATTCCATGTCTGTATTTGGGGAAATATGATTCTTAAAGGGAAACAAAAACTATCTGCCATTAAAGTGAAAATGCCAGCTACTGTTCACCCTTCCTGGTCTCCCTTGCAGGCTCTTAGAAGCAGAATCATTCAAATTCTTCCTGTTTCTCACTGATTCTGACTGGAGTCAAGTTGCACGAAAGAAAGAAGGAAGCCTTCTAAGGAATCCATTCTGGTAAAAGTAGCAGAGGAAATGATCTTCTAATGTCTAAAATCAATAGATAAATTCTCTGGTTCTATTATTGCATGGATAAAAATTTCTATCAGGACCATCAAATCCTCTGTTCTGAGTTTATACTCTCCAAACAATATATGAAATGTAAATTTTGTCTCTGATAATAAGGACTGTCCTGAAATAGGTACAATCTAATATAAATGAATACACTGGGACTCTAATGTATAAAATCCTTCTCAGAAATGTGGCCCACATGTAAGTGTGGCCCATGTGCTCATTCTCAACAGCCTGATAAATCAAATGCCAGAACATCTAAAGTAAGAACTAGATTCTGAAAATGTTGAACCCATTAAAGTACAGCTATCTGCAATATTTTCTGTAACTAAACACTCACTGCAATATACTTCCACTATAAACCAACAGATTACCGAGAGTACTCTAGAGAGGATTACAGGTATCTTATGCTGTCAATGATACTGTGATAAATCAAATACAAGTGACTACCTGTTCCCTTTCATAGAAATCCTGTACCTTCAAGATCCTATCAAAGAGAAATGAAGAACTGCTCATAAAGAAAGACAGCTTGTTTTCTAAGTTCAGATTTATCTTTTCTCCAGAAAATCCATGCTTTACATAGGTAAGTGTCTAATGTTTTGCACATTATACTATTTAAAATATAAAAGACAAGATTCAGACCACTGGTAAATTTAAATTTAGCCAGAGATCTCTTGCTTCTACCTGAGTTACAAAGTTTCTCAACTAGGCCTCTATCTGCATCTTACCCAGGTAAATTTAAGGATGGAAAAGAGAACACACATGGTATCTATTTTTCCTACTAAAAATAAATGTCAAGATGTATCTTCATATATTCATTGAAATTAGTTTCTAATTTACTCCTGATGTTTCATTTCAGGTACAAAAATAATACATACATGCAAGTCAGGAAAATGGAACAGTTATATTGCAAATAAATGGAAACAACTTCTCAAAAAAAAATCTCCCTACTAACATTTTAACATAGGTACAAGCCAGGCATGGTGGCATACTCCTGTAATCCCAGCACTCAGGAGGCTAAGGCAGAAGGATCACTGCAAGTTCGAGACCAACCTGAGCTACAAAGCAGGCCCAGGGCCAGCCTAAACTGCAGAGCAAGATCCTATCTCAAAAAAAGAAAAAAAAAAAAAAAAAAAAAAAAAAAAAAAAAAACATGTTACATACCATACAACTTTTTAAAAAGGTACTAAATCAAAGTATAATAATAAAATGCTCATAATTCATCAGATCAAATTTTTCACTTAGTCTCAATTCTAAATTTTAGAGCCAGTGTACAAGCATCACATATTTACACTCATTGCCCTTTCAAGTCACACAGCCTTTACAATTTTATCAACATATTACCAAAAACATTGCAGAAATGTGAAAACTATCAAAAGACATCTTTTTTCATCATTTCTTCCCTAATATGTCTCAGAAACTAATTTTTAAAATTTATATTCAAACAGACTTAATCCATACTCAGATGTAAATTACCTGACTCAAACATAAAGCTACAGGCCAGGGTTTTAGCTCAGTGGCACAAGCACTTGCCTGGCAAGTGCAAGGTCGTGAGTTTGATCCCTAGTACTGCCAAAAAAAAAACATAAAGCTACTTTCAGATGTGCAGATTGAGTAGTGAGGTGGCTGTAGATCATGCTTATATCCTGATTCAAATAAACTACAAAAGCATTTGTAAAAGAAATTAGCAGAATGTGAAAGCAGTTTGAAGTTGGAAATTACAAAATGTTCATTATTTTGGAAGTGTGACAATGATATTATATGATTGGTTGTATGAGGTCCTTATTTTTTTAAAACATATATATAATTATAAGGATTGTGACAGTGCCAGAATTTTAAATACTAATGAAAAAAAAGGAATGACAGAAAAATACTGATAATTTTTGAATGGAGTCGTATCATTCTCATTATTCTATTTTTATGTTTAAAATTTTTTATAGAAAAAGAAAAGAATAAAAGTAATAAAACAAACCAGGGTTACCTTTTCCCAGTCAACTCCAGTTGGCCCTTCTTATTTAAGAAGAACTTGGAATCATTATATCCCCAACCATTCCACTTCATGAGTTCTTGCCTAATGAGAAGAAAATATATAAATAAGACCTATGCTAAAGATTCCAAAACAAAAGCACACGTTATTAAATATTAACTTTCACAATTTAAAAAACTTTATGCCCAGTAATATAATAACACTTGAATGAAATGAACACATACTAAAATATCTAAATACTATTATTTCTAACTAAAGGATCATTCAGATAAACCACACACATCTACAACCAACAGACTTAATACACTCAAAAGGAAAGAAAAAGATGAAAAAGGTAGATGATATTCTTAAGAGTTCCAATGTTTCATTTTGTACATATTACTAAGTTTAAATTTCAGGAAAATCCCCCTAAAATTTTACAATTAAAACTAAGAATTTGCTTGAACAGGAAACAAATTTTATATATGTTAACAAAAAAAAATCACAGTTGTTAATCTTTTTGTTATAATGACAGCAAATTTATAAGGTAGGTTCGCCAGTAGTAAAAACATTTAACAAAATGGTTAAAAATCTCAGTGATGGGTTTATGAACATTCCAAATCCTCCAACCTCCAAATAACTACCAATCTCTACTTTTATCCATGTAGCATAACAGTTAATGACTAATCCAATTTTCAGTATTTCAAAATATACTGTTTTTAATTGGTTCTAAAGCACCAATCCTTCATACTATTAAAAATCATCTTCATCAAAATCAGTAACTCAGTCATTCAATTTTGCATATCTCAGGAACAGAAAGATCTGCACTTGTGCAAAACATGGTGAGCAACCACACTGAAGTATGGTATCAGTCTTCACTACATTTTCACACCACACCCTAGTGTGATCTTGTCTACTGAAAGAAACTGGCGATAAATTTTCTCACTACAAATTCAGCTATGCGGTTTGTGATGAAAATAATTTGATGAAAACTGTTCTCTAGGGTTGGAGATTTGGCTCAGTGGTACAAGCACCTGCCTGACAAGAGTGAGGTCATGAGTTCAATTCTCAGTACAAAAAAAGAAAGAAAGAAAAAAAGAAAATTGTTCTCTATCCATAAAGTCATTCAGCGCATTAAAACCTAAAAGCAGCAGGTACAATGCTATATGCCATCATACCTGGCTAGATATCTGAACTCTTAAAAAAAAAAAAAAAAAAAAAAAACTTCAAAATGAACAAGGATGCACTCACTAGAAAGTGTTCTTCCAATTTTCATAATCCTCAAGGAAGGAAATAATAATTGACAACCAAATTTATTACAATCACAATTCTTGTTCCAAGGCTTTTCAAACAAGTGGAACATGAACATAAAACTGAAGCAGATACAAGTAATTAAATATGTATTAAAAATCTTGATCTACATATAAAATGGAGACAGAAACTAGGGTTTCTTAAAAATTAGAATCCCAAACATACAGTCCTCATATAAAAACTGTTCAAAATATTTCAAGAATAACAATCCAGACATTAGATTGTGGATGATTCAGTTATGAACTGAACATTCCTACTGCATAGCAGAGGGAGGTTTTGAAAGAAAACTTTTAGAAAAATCTCATAACTAATGTCATCATCAACACATTCATCTTCGTAGACAGACAGTGTGCGTGTATGTTCCTGGGAAGTGAATTCAGGACCTTTGCACCGAGGTACACACTTAGCCCTTTTTGGTTTTATTTTTTTACTTTGAAACAGGGCCTTGCTAAGTTGCTAAAATGTGATCTTCCTGCCTCAACCTCCCAGAGTGCCAGGACTACAGGAGTATTCTATCACAGCCACTAAGATTACACTTCTAAAAAGATTAGGTTTTCTTCTACTTTGCTTTTTTTATGACTGAATAAATGCTCTTCACATTTCTGAAACATAATTTACTAATTTATTACATTTCCATAATGACCTACATTAGGTTAATCTACATTTTAATAAACTGACATCTTTACTTAATGTTTTTAATACATTCACAGACTTTTACATGTGAATGCATTTTATTATTTAGTGAATTTAAACATGCATCATGAGGTGCATTTTGCTTTAGTATCACAACAAAGCACTAGGAAATCATTTCAGTAGATATTAAATTTGGCATGTATACATAGCTTACCAATCAATACTATTTTCCTTAAAATTATCCCTAGAATTTGAAAACTGTATTCCTAGATGGCTCCAAAGCAAGAAGTTAAACCCGGACACAAGAGCTCACTCTTAGAACTCCATGAGGAAACGAATCAAGATGAGTAGGAAATATCTGCTGCTACACACTATGAAATGAGATTTCACAGCAAAGACTTTAAACTTTTGACTTTAAATTGCCAAGTTGAGTAATATTAGAAAGAATTTCTAACTGTGCAAGTGTAGGCCAATGCACCTTTTCCTCTTTTTTACTCCACTGAGAAAGTTCTTCCTTATTGCCACACTTTGGATCTGGAAATTCCCGACAGGCTGTGGTGTGAGCAAGAGGGGTGTGTGTGTGTGTGTGTGTGTGTGTGTGTGTGGTCTCAGGCCACTGGGGATAAGCCCTGGAATGGGAATTGTGGGACCCTGGTCTCTACGTTTCTCTTTGTCCCAGTCACGAGGTGAGTGGCTCAGGCCACAATACACTCTGCCACAATGTACAGACTCATCACAGGTCCAAAGCAGTAGGGGCAGTCAGCCATAGACTGCAACTTCCAAAGCCAGAGGCTAATTTACCTCTCATGTATTTATTAAAGTACCAAACGCTGACCAACACACATATGATACAGGCCCTATCACATCTATACCAACTTCAGGAGTCATTGTAGAGGCGGAAAGGGAGGTGGAATCTGAAACGTATTTGGGTCCAACGCAGTGCTACAAAATGGTTTACAGATATATATTAAAATGTAAATTCCCCAAAACCAATTTTCTGATGTTGTCAAGTATCTCAGGCATTATTAAATGAAAGTATATACAGTTCCTAGGCTTCTGACTTTAAAATCTTATACACATGTATCTCTTCAAATTACTTACACTGTCATACTTAAACATAATCATATGATTACATTAAATTTTAAAATAACTTCCTATATAGAATAGTATAATGATTACACTAACATCTTAAGGGAGGGGTGTTGGGGATCAACCCCAGGCTCTCACACATACTAGGCAAGCATTCTACCCAGTCCCTGGCATTAACATTTTAAAAGTGGAGTAAAACTTTATTCATCTTAGGATTCAAAATCTGAAAAGCTCCTTCCCACCCAGTTCAACTGCTTCTTCTTCATTAAAGAAACTGCTCTGGGAAGAACCATGGTTGCATGAGGAAAGTAGCTCTGAGCTTCTAGGGCTGACTTCCAATGTCTGAGACTGTCTGAAACTCCCACTAAGTCATCACCCCAGATAACCAAAATAACCTATGAGACCTTTTTCACTACATCAGTATTCTTCAAAACACCATTACATGTTATTATTGTCGTCACTGTGCACCTGACCTGAAAAAAAAGATTTGTAAATGAAGCAATATGGCCATATCAATACACTAGGTGCTCCATATCTTCCTACAGTATAATAAATTCTGCCATTCAAAATAATCCTAAAGCACTGAAAACACTGAAATAATAAAGAATGATCAAAGAATCCCCAACTATAATTAAGATTCAATCATCTCTCTGTCATTCCAATTCTTGGAGCTAACCGCATCAAATTTAATGTCTTCAAAACACAACATTTTTCCTACTGCAAAACAAAGATAAGTTGGCTTGACTTTATGCATAAAAAAGTAAAACAAGTCATTTCATACATTTACACATCTGATCACGGTACCAAATGGTGCAAAACAGTGAATCAGCTTGCATAACAAAAGAAAATGGAGACAAAAAATATCATCACACAGACACAAGGTGGCAGTATTCTCCCATGATATTTGTGGTGTGCTTCTTTATATTTTTTCTATTTCCCAAAGCTATCTGCATAGTCTTTAAGTCAAATACTTAGATTTAACCTCACTATTACTAAGACCATTAAAATTCCTTCCTTTAGTCTTCCAATAGACTTCACTTTTTAAGTCTGTTCTCATACAGATTACTACTCTTCTACTAGTACTAAACTGCAAGCATCTGGGTATAAATGCTGTCTTTATTATCACTATTTCCAATCACAGTGTTTGTCACTACAAAACAGGAAAAAAAATGATTTGGCCTGTTTCATGTTTGGTTAACAAAAAAAAAAGTTCAATTAGAGAACTTTTCTCAAAATAAGTTGTCAATAAAAATTCTATTTTAAAGAACCTTTGCTTAGTTCAGATAACAATTAAATTTTTGCCAGTTTAAAAACATATTTAAAAGATTATATGATCTAAGGTTTTGAAAAGTAGAAACAAATATGAAACATAAACCTCAGTGCTAGATTTCTAGCTAGTCAACCTCAGTATCAAGTAAGTTCAAATCAATCACATAGATGGTTTAATATGCAGTTTAAAAAATTCTTAAAACTATTTATGCCAATTAAAATCAGTCATAATTTTTTTATTTCAAAACTAGGATAACTTAAAAGAAATCATGAAAGTGAAGAAATAAAAAGTGGTAAGACACCAACAGATTTTATCAATAAAACATACGTTCTTGAGAAATTGTTACCAAAAAAAATCCTATAAATCCAATACTATTTTTACTAGATTCTTCATTTTAAAAAATATTTTAAGCTAAGTTTTTATTAAAAAAATAAACATATAAAGCCCCAACTGGAAGGGCATGCTTTGCAATTTTTTTATTCTAACTTTAATGTAAAATGCAGACACTTTTTTAAATAGTAAAGATCATATGTCTAGCCTACAAGTATTACAAATTTCTAAAAGTTAAACAAATTTCTAAAACTTAAACTTACAGTGTATACTACAATGCCTCAATCTGAGGGTGCAATTAATTCCTTTCCAATTAGGTAAATTAATTTAAAAAGCTTGTTACAAGTACAGTGATTTATGTATCCTTTTAGGGGGGAAAAAATCTCACCAAAAAAAATTTTTAGAAAATGAATCTGCTATACATCTTATAGCTCCAAGACTGCTACGTCTGACTTAGAAAATTAATTGAATA